ATTCAACTATCAGTTCTTCATCATAAACGAAATAGAGTGAGCACAATTTCGATCTCAGCATTTAAAAATTGTGTATAAGAAAAAAAATACAGAAGTACCTAAGTGCTGCATCAGCACTTCGACGCAGGAGCATAGGTTCTCTTGGCTCCATATAATCACTTTGACCATCTATGCCGATCTCATCGGTCAGCCGAAATTTATTCATGCCTCGATCTGTCCGTCCAACTGGCCCACCCGAGTTTGTCGAGAGGAGAGGCAGCGTGGAGGCAGGTCGTGGAGGACCTGGGACACACCGAGATAGCTGATGAGATAAAACATAGTTTCTGCTGGCTGTATGTAGAGCCGTGGAGGCTGCCATCGGAGTAGTCAGCAGGAGGTCAGCTGGAGTTGGTGGTAAATGCCATTCAGCATTGTTGATTGAGGTTAAGACTGCAGTTGGTTTGACAAGAGGAGTAGCATTGACGGTGGCGCCAAAGCCAAGCCTGTTCAACTGACCAAGTGACTTAGATCTATGACATAAAAGCCATCCTGTTGAATCTTCGGCTTTAGTTCCAGTATGGAACTTAGCCGGTGCAAAAGCATCAGCACACGGGCCTGGGCTAGACAAATGAGTACTTCTTAAAACGACAGAAGAATGATTTACAGGGTGACCAGAGAAATTTTCTGAGCGGGGAGATAATGCATTCTCTTCTCTTTGAGAGAGATTGAGAGCACCTTCATACACAATTAGTTGTTCGCGAAGATCTTGAACCTCTTCCTGAGTTATAATGATAAATTAATAAGATCATAAAGCTTAGGAATAAGAGCTGAACAAATCAAATAATGCAAAGATTTCATGTATGTATCTTAAAAGCAGTTGAGAACAAAAAAAACAAGAAGCAAACAAAAGTGTAGGTATTGCTTGATTTAAAGTAAAAATTATTTTTGCACAAATATAGGGAAAAATTAAATTTTTCAACAATAGATCTTTTATGACTTGATACAATAGATAATAAATGCATAACAGAGATGGCATGATAATGACAACAAATTATCCGCACGGAAACATAAGCAGAAGGATAAAAGGAAAGAAGAATCAGAGGAAAGAAATAGACCCGATAGAAACTCATTATAGTACAATAAATTGAAAAAGTGTGTTTAAAGGCATGCTTTAAGCTTTAATTCAGGTAACATTCTATTAAATGAATATATATTTTTTATATAAGCTATCATTGGAAATCAAAGCGATTTGGAATCCGAAAGAGCATAATTAGAGGAATACATAGCATAGACTAGACATGAGATATATTGGAAGGCAACAGAAAGAAGGGCCTCTTACAGTGAAAGCACAATGAAGCGGAAGGGTTGGCAGGCCATTGACATAAATAAGGGGAAAATCTACTAAACAAGAGATTGGAAGAAGGCAGAGTTGGCGATAACTTTGCCTACTGCTTAAGCAAATTCGAGGGAAACAAGAATAGAGCAAGACCAGCAAAAAGGAGACGCCTGGATCAGGGATCTATCGATAGCCGTTGGAACAGTGATCGAGATGAGAAAGTGGGTGGCGGGGAATTTCGACAATCAAGAGAAGACTTTATCAATAAAGGATGTCTGCTCGAAGTAAAGTAGTACAACTTTGATGACCTGGTGGTCAGGGGAGTAAGTAGACGGATAAACACAACCGTCACAGAAATACGGCATTATGTACAAAATGTATTATAAATCCACTCGAAATGCCGCCTGCCATCAGATATGAGGGTCCACAGTTTGCTCAGGTAAAACCGGCTTTATCAAGGAGACGACTCATGAAGGCAATGCCTAATATCTGCAAGTATGGGAATCAGAAACTAGCCGCTCTACTCGTTGAGGCGGCATTTACGCGCATCTAGGGCCTTGAGAAATAGCATCTTGAATAAAACGCACATTGGAACTGGAACCGAGTGAAATCGGTCAACCAGAAATATAAGGAACGGATCTACGGGACCATAAGGGAGATCTGGATAGGAGGCCCGAGTTGGATTAACCTATCGAAAGAGAGGAGGCCAAGTTGAATAGCAGAACAGAAAGAAGAGTGATAGTGTAACTGTTTTTGCAGAACGTTAGTCGAGGAATTGACTTCACCTGTCTCTTTGACGAGTTCATAGCTTGGTGCGGAGAAAGGCAACACTCAGTGATGATGCCGGTGAAAGGTCTCGGAATGTACCAAGTCCACGATTTGATGCTGGGAATTATGACAACTACTATGGCAGAGGACTTCTGACAAGATGTGTTCTACCAAATCACCCTGACAACAAGACCAAGTTGCGACGAGGTCAACCCACTTCCATAAATCGAAATGGAACCGCGACCATACCGCGGGCCACACTATCTTGGTCTGCATATCTTCATCTAAATTATTATTCTTTTGTCTATACGAGCTGTGTTCATCCTCGTTCACTTATGATGATGAAGGACTGGAAGTTGACTTTTCCAATAATGATATGAGTAGACCTTAAGTTACACATGGAATTTATCATATCTTTGCTTTCAAAAAGCAATTCTCATTTAGGGCGGACTGCAATTTCAACCTCGCCTAGATCTCATTAGTACCTTCAGCTGATGGTTTCGATTCCCTCTAGGGGTGCTGAGGCTATGCGAGAGTTAAGCTATAGTCTACCCCGGATAAAAAAACTATTTAGGAAGCGAGCCTTTGTGAAATTAATTTCTAAATTGATGGAGTAAAACCTTGATAGTTATTTTGGTACGCCTAAATTATTTTAAATATTATTTAATTTCGTCGATATTATCGACGGAAATGATAAGCCGTTTCACGATGGTCAAAGCAGTTTTTGGCCGATGATACCAATTTGGCTTGCAGCTGTTGTAGATGCTAACTATGTAATGATATGTGTCTACTTTTTCTCAATGCAACTATTAGCTGTGTTACACCATGGCTGCAATCATCTCCCAACGCTTAATACAAAGAGCAATTTTGAATATCCGCACTCTGTTTTCGCGCCAACCAGTCATGTCTCGCCAATGCCTCAAGCCAACCTTTGGAATTGTCATATCGGAAAATATATCGAACCAATCAGAAGGCGACATTTAAATAATGCAAGTACTTAAGCAGAAGCAACTTCGGATTCAGGTACTTCTTCGAAGACCTATTTTAAAAGGGCCGGCTCTCAACATCGCTTGCCGTCGCTGAATGTCACATTTGCAGGCCACGATTGCTTGCTATGCTCCCTCTT